TGGGTTTCTTTCTATGCACCTCTCTTTATCTACTTCCCATGTTTACAATCTACATTTAAAATGTTTTTATTAAATCCCAACTGTACACACAATGTGAGCCGAGAGCCAGCATCTTCCTCTGCTTCCTAACTGTGGAGGCAATGTGACCAGTTATCTCACACTCCCCAAGTCACAATAGACTAGACCGCCACCTTCCTTAAGCTGCTTTTGTCAGGGGCTTTGTCACATGTATGAGAAAAGTAACTGCCACTCCTCCTCTCAGCTGGTGTCTGCAGAGCCCTGCTTAGGTTAACCTCAGGGGAGAAAGCTTCATATCGGGCTTGAGAGTTTACAAGTTTTCCCTCAAATAGTACTTACTGCATCTCCTAGCCTTGTTAATAGCTGCTGTAAGATCAAGAGGTCTCGGCAGATCAGGAATCGAGTGCTGGCAATTTTATACACACCTCTGCACACAATATATCCTGCTGTGCTACTACCATAGAGCTGGGAAAGATTCATTCGAACGTTCAAAGGCTGAGCTGTAACAAGAAAATGGAGTTAAAGGACCCATGTGGTAGGGAAAAGCTGAACCCTACACGTTGTCCTCTGATCTGTCTATGCACCACAGCATATGTGTGCATGTATGTATATAAAATAAATAAATGTAATAATTTTAAAAGAAAAAAAGAATTAAATGTATCATTTTATTTTTATTTATTTATTTTTTTGAGACAGGGTTTTTCTGTGTGTAGTCCTGGCTGGCCTGGAACTCAGAGATCTGCCTGCCTCTGCCTCATGAGTGCTGGGATTAAAGGCGTGACCACCATGCCTGGCTTTATTATTTTTAACTAGGCATATGTGTGTCTATTTGTATGTGGGTATGTGTATATGAATCAAGTGGCACAGATCAGAGATGTCAGATTCCTCTGGAGCTGGCTATGAGTCACCTGATGTGGGTGCTGGAAGGTAGACTCAGTTCCTCTGGAAGAACAGTCTGTCCTCTTAACCTCTGAGCCCACATCACTGTTTTCTATAAAGCACACTGGTTGTTTCATTGTTTACCTGGATCGAATCCCTTCTCCATCTCCACTTCTGTTTCATAATCCATTTCCCGTATAAGAAGTCCAATGGCATGGACGGGGTTTCTGATCTCTTGCAGTTTACTACAAATGTCTTCCATCACATTTTCTCTACATGACAATTAGAAAATTCCTATTACTACTGACAACATTTAAGACAGGCTCTATGTGTACGCTCACAGTAAAGCAGTGAAGAAAATCATTCTGGCACAAGATACTCAGGGTCCACATAAAATCACTCTCAACTTTTTAGAAATGACCCACAAAATGAATGTGAGGAAAATACCATCCAGCTCAGTTAAGGGATTATAGGAGAATAATACTTTATTATTTTATGAATTTGTTTTTGGAGCTGAATATGTTAACATCTGTCCCCTGTAACATCTGAAACAGGGGCTGCAGATGTTATTTAGGAGTAGAACACTGGCCTAGAATGCACAAGGCCAGGTTCTTCTGCAGGACTGCACATGTGTACACACAGACACACAGACACACAGACACACAGACACACACACACACACACACACACACACACAAATCTATTCAGAATCAAGGGAAATTACTTTAACATTAAACCATGACTTTTTATATACTTGACCATATATTTAAAAATCTGAGATAATACTGCTGAATTCCATTAGGAAATGTACTTTACCCTAAATTCTCCTTACACATCAATAGTGATCAAATCTTCCAAAATGTGTTCTGCAGCCTTCTCTGGAGATTGCAAGTTGTAACAACTGGTTTCCATCAAAACTGCCATGTCCATGGTAACTGACTCTCCAATCATCCGGAGGCATTTTATAAGACATAAGACATCCCGTGCCACATCTGCATCTATGAGAAAGAGAGAATGTTAACACCAATGTCTCAAGCCACGAAGGTCTATTGATTAGTACATTAAAAGAAACATCAGTAATTAGATAGAAGGGATCCATTTTCCATAGCATAGGTATTTAAGACTCTCCAGCTTAAAAAATATCTTCAGTGAGTGAAGTAAACTCATCAATACAGGTCACGGTGGTAATTGATAATGTTTAATTGAGATAAAATATAAGGTTCATATAGGAAGAGGGTCAACTATAGACAAAACAATTATTACCATCTGATATGGTCGTCTCATCCTCTGTCAAAAGGTGCTCATCAGGCAGGAGATATAAATGATCTACTAAGGAAGATGGTACCAGGAAAGACAGGTACCCCTGCAAGTACAAACCTTTCAGTTATTTTCTCTTAAATAATTCAAAAAGAAGACATGTAACTCATAATCCATAATGTATCATATAGACAACAAACTGTGCTATATATAATATGTATACATAATTTTACATGTCATTTATTAATACTTGGAAGGGTCTATGGGATGTAGCTCTATGGTAGAGGGCTTACCTAATACATGCAGCCCTTATGTTTATTTGATTCTCAGCAGAGACAGAGAAAGAACAATACTGTGAGCTAAGTCTTCCAATTTTTTACATGTGTCTGTGTTCAGCTGAGTGGTGATGTGTGTGTGTGTGTATGCAAGGCTACAGGATAACCTTGGTTGTCTTTCCCAGGAATGTAGTCTACTTCCTTTGAGACAGATTTCTCACTGGCCTGGAAATCACAAATTAGGGTAGACTGACTGGCAAGCTCCCAGGATCTACCTGTCTCTGTCTCCCCATCACGACCATAAGCACGCACCACTATAACTGGCATTTCTACATGGGTGTTAGGGTCTTTCTGCTTGTAAGGCAAAGACTTTACAGATTGAACTTACAATCTACAGAATATCCTTAGATATTGAATGGTGAGGAAACACCAAATTCAAGTTGAAAGATAATATAAAAAAAAAAAATTAAAAAAAAAGATGTGGTCTTAAGTCAGCAAGGAAATGGCCAGAAGAGGGTGCTTCACCCGCTACAGCTAGAGTTGCAAGTGGTCACCACTTGCCATGATTGCTAGGAACTGAATCAGGTTATTCTGTAGGTAGCAAGCACTCTCAGTCATTAAGTCATGTCTCTAGTCCCAGTATCTGTGTTGATATGTTATGAAATATTTACAGATATCAAGGCAGCAGTGGCTCAGGGGAAAAAAAAAAAAGAAAAAAGAAGGAAGAGAGAAAAAAGGAGGAGAAACAAATAGGAGGAATGAGGAAGGAAGAAGGAAAAAGGAGGAGGAAGGAGGAGAGGAAGAAGAGGAAGAAGAAGGAGGAAAAGGAGGAGGAAGAAGGAGGAAAAGGAGGAGGAAGAAGAAGAAGAGGAGGAAGAAGAGGAGGAGGAGGAGGAGGAGGAGGAATCTATACAGCTACAGCCAACCCTCGCACCAAAATCAAAGCTGACAAACAATGAGTATGAATAAAGGAAATGCAGAAATTCTTGTGTTATCACTATTACTGTTGTTTTTATTTGTTGAAACAGAGTCTTACTCTAGCTCAGGGTGACCTGGAATCATACTGGCATTCCCATGAAGTCTCTTAAATGTTAGGATATACAGGCCTGAGCCATCATGCTATTTTTGTAATTTGAAAGTACATCAATATAGACTCATTGAACTTTGCAGAGAAGCTCTGAATGCTCCAGTTCCCTTACTTTCTTCAGAAGGCACACCATGTTTGTGAGAGGATTCAAATGTAGAGCAAGAGGGTGGGAGAGGGCTTCCTGATACTGGAGACAGCAGGCATAGAACTTGCACCAGAATTCCTGTTGTAAAGTACGAAACTCATCCTGGGAGAATTCATACTCGGTTACACTTCCTTGGAGCTGACAAAGAAAAGTTAAACCTTTTGGGGTTTTTCCTCTACAAAATATTTCTTATGCATTAAATCCCATGGGATACATAAATATCTATCAGAATCCCTAATGAAAAGGCTTGAGCATTTATACTTTTGTTTTTTTTATGCATACTTTTTTTCTACTCACACCCCACCCCACTTCCCTTCTCCCTCTTGTTCTGGCCCCGCTCACTCCAGCCCCGGTCGCTCCAGCCCAAAGGTTTTTATTTATTTATTATATATAAGTACACTGTAGTTGTCTTCAGACACCTCATAAGAGGGCATCAGATCTTCTAATGGATGATTGTAAGCTACCATGTGGTTGCTGGGATTTGAACTTATGACCTCCAGAAGAGCAGTCAGTGCTCTTAACTGCTGAGGCATCTCACCAGCCCCCGCATTTACACTTTCTACTAACATGATAAAGATGATCAAGTTTGACAGTTCAACTAGACAGACAACATTATCATTCCCACTATTACCCACACCTCACCTCATTTTCAACAGCTAAAGTAATTTCCTTTTTTAGTTCGTTCCATGAAAGATCCAAGTTCCTCTCAGTACCCCGGCAGAAAATCTATAAAATTAAAAGGAATATTTTATAGCATTATCAAATACTCAAATTGAAGGAAGTCTGGCCTAAAAGGCCCTAAGGAAAGTACATAAGATCATTAAAAAAAATCAATTAAAATCAAAATAACTGGGGCTAGAGAGATGGTCCAGTGGTTAAGAGCACTGACTGCTCTTCCAGAGGTCTTGGGTTCAATTCCCAGCAACCACATGGTGGCTCACAACCATCTGTAACAGGATCTGACACCCTCTTCTGGTTCTGGTATGTCTGAAGACAACAACAGTGTACTCATATACATGAAATAAATAAATACATTTAAAAAAAAATCAAAATAACTATTGCCCATTTGGAGAGAAAGGTCTATGGGATGTCAAAGACCCACAGCCCAAGACCACACATAGAGAAAGCTAGTGATGATGGTGGGCACTCTCCTAGCAAAGAGTCTAACAGGAATTTGATAAATGTATCAATTTATGTTTTCATATCTTAATTATATACTAGATACTATGAAAAATCCTATTGCACAACGTTAATGCCAGTACTAAAGAGGCAGAGACAGGTGGATCAGAGCCTACACGCCAGCCTGGTCTACAGAGCAAGATGCAAGATTTAGAGTAGTCAGGGCTACAGAGATAAGGCCTGTCTTGAAAAATAAAAGACAAAAACGAAAACAAAAAACAAACAAAATAACCCAAACCGAAACAACGCAACGAGTAACTGTGAACAAGGACAAAGTGGTGACGAGAGGCAACTGAACAGAGCAGAGTGCCTCACTCCGAGGTTGTCATGTAGTTCCATCGGAGAGGAGACAGAGGACATACAGTAACCAGGTAAAAATGTGCCTACCCTGAAGAAAAGGTAAAGGCCTATAAACTGTCACACTAGTAATTCTAGTGCTTCAGAAATGAAGGTAGGAAGATCAAAGTTCAAGGGCAACCTGGGCTACACGGGGAATATGAAGCTAGTCTAAGCTATATAGTCAGATTGTCTTTAAAACACAATACCAGGCAGGAGGATCTCTGGAGTTCAAGACCAGCCTGGACTACAGAGTTCTAGGACAGTCAATGCTACCACAACAAAACCCTGCCCTTCCGTCCCCCCACACAAACAAAAGGGTGTGTGTTCTGCAGAACCGGTTCAGTGGTTAAGAGCACTTGCTGCTGTTCTTTTTGTTTTGTTTTATTTGTTTGTTTTTTGAGACAGGGTCTCTTTGTATAGCCCTTGCTGTCCTAGAACTCACTCTGTAGACCAGGCTGGCCTCGAACTCAGAAATCCTCTTGCCTCTGCCTCCCGAGTGCTGGGATTAAAGATGTGCACCACCACTGCCCGGCTGCTGCTGTTCTTGTAAAGGATTAGTAGTTCAAGTCCCTGTACCCATATAGATGCTCACCGCTTCCTCAGGCACAGGAAGCATGTGGTACACAGATACACATGCAGTCAAAACACTCATGCGCACAAAATAAAAAACCAAAAACCTCACAATAACAAGAAAGCGGAAGGGAAGCCAGGCAGTGGTGGCACACGCCTTTAATCCCAGCACTTGGGAGCCAGAGGCAGGTGAATTTCTGAGTTCGAGGCCAGCCTGGTCTACAGAGTGAGTTCCAGGACAGCCAGGACTACACAGAGAAACCCTGTCTTGAAAAACCAAAAAAGAAAGGGGAAGGGAAGAAAGTGGCAGAGAAACTGTTTATTTGTATTTAGAAAAATGGTAAAGATCTTAAAGTGGATCTGCTGTGTACACAACTAATCCCAACTACAGGGAGGTAGAGGCAGAAAGATGAGAATTTCAAAGTCTGCCTCAAAAACAATATAACAAACAAATAACAATAAAACATTTTTTAAAAAAATAGTAAACAACTTTTAAGTCATAACTGAAAACAAAATATTTTCTGAGATAGTTTCACTATGCAATATATAGACAGGTGCCACTAATTCATTACCCTTCTGCTTCAGCCTCCTGAATCTTGGGACTGTAGTCATGTATTACCATACCTACCTTGAAGCTAAAATATTTTAAGTCGCCTATACTCTGAACCCTGAACTTGGACCCTCACTGTACTAACAAAAGGGCATAAACAACATATAATCAATCATAACTAACCTAAAAGCTAACCTTTTAATCTCTTTCAAGTATGAAGACTACATGCAGCATAGTGTTTGCTGGTATATAATTGGACTGTGGCATGCTCCCCTAATTACTTGGAAAAGCATTTCCTACTCATTCCTATCTCTCAGTCAGGATTCTTATTTTGTGTAAAGAATGTCAAAACAAATTACAATACTATTTACAAGCAAATATATATAAAAAAGAAATAAAAGAACAATCAATTATACAATACAGCAATAAATTCAGGAATAATTTTAAGTAAACATTACATATTTTCTTGCTCACCTGTAAAGCTTTGCATAAAGCTGCATTTATGAATTGTCCTGGTGTAAAAAGGCTCCGCAAATACATTTCCTATGAGAAAATCAAAATAAAAGCTATTATGATTCTGAAAAAGATGAAATTGGGAAAAATACAAAGGAATCTGTGACTCCAACATGTGGATTTTCTACTACATGAATTGGAGACTCTGCCCTTCTACCCTTGAGCAATAACAAGATACATTGCAGAAACATGTTTTTACAGAGTAAGTGAAGACTGCAATGCTTTGGGGGTCAAACTGCTATATTCTCCTGAACGCTATGCATTCTTATAGAACCCTACTGGGTTCTGAAAAGGTGTCAGCTGTCAATCTTAAATGCAAAGGGTGGACACAGCTTGTTGATGCTATGCATTGGTAAAAGAGCAGTTAGAACAAGTTGATTTCAAAACCACTGTCACAAGGACTCACATATAAAAGAAACTGACAATAGGTAATCTAAATCTAACAAAATAAACTGCAGAAAACTCACAGGAGTATAGACTAGGATAGAAAACTGCCATGCTGCCTCATTATTTTGAACAAGTCTCATGAACCAGATTTGCTTCTAAGCATCAAGTCTGAGTGATCATCATCATAGATTCTTTTCTTCTGAGCTTCTTGGTGGGTGATAACATGAGTACAATAGAACAAAAGAACTAATAATTAGTTCAATAGAACTAATAATCAGGAAGTGACTTTGGCTTTAAAGAAAATCCAAAAGCTAGTCTTTGTTAACTGTAGTAATAAGTAACATTACCAAGGAACTCTAAGGATTAACACTTGAACAACATTCAATTTCAGATAAAGTGGGGTTTCCATGAGTGAAAATCCTTGTCATTTCAGCTCAGCTTCCTAAGGCATCAACTAGAAACTTTCCTTTATTTAGCATAAGATATCTCTGAAAACATGGAGACTGGCCTGTTGTGCTTTACTGCATATTATCTTGACCAGAACAGTTTGTTTGTTTGTTTTGTTTTTTGAGACAGAGTTGCTCTGTGTAGCCCTTGCTGTCTTGGAACTCTCACATCTGCCCGCCTCTGCCTCCCAAGTACTGGGATTAAAGACCTGCAACCACCACCCAGCCCTTTATCAGATTTTCAAGCCCTTGATATGGTGCTTTGGATTGAACCCAGGTCTGGCATATGCAAGTTCTCTACAATCAAGCTATAGTCTTCAGAATTTATGTGAATTCCACCTAATGTTTAAGCAGATGGAAATACTAATTACTAAAATATGATCGTTACATATTACATAATCATTATCATGCTATATTTCACAAATGTATATAATTATTATGTCAACTGAAAGGTTTGGGGGCTGGAGAGATGGCTGAGTGGTTAAGAACACTTGTTGCTCTTACAGAGGAACCAGTTTTGGTTCCTAGCCCACATATGGCAGCTTATAACTCTGCAATCTGACACTCCATTTTGAACTCAGGGCATCAGGTGAGCACAGGGTGCACATACATACATGAAAGGAACAAATGCCCATGCACATAAAATAAAATTCTCAGCCACCAAAATGGCTCAGCAGGTAACACTGTAAAGGCATTCGTCACCAAGCCTGATAACCACAGTTCCACTCCTGGGCACACATGGTGAAAGGAGAAAACTAACTGCAGAGTTGTCTTCTGACCTCCCTATCTGCACTGTGGGCATGTGTGTCACATTAGCCCAGAACATATTAGCCCAGTGAACACATTAGGATTTAACATATCACCCAGACCACACCAATTCATCACAAGGACTCAGGACCGAGGTACAGCTGTTTCCTTCAAGACAGTTAAACACACAGAATGTAGACTTTGTCAGGACAAGAGGTACTATCTGAGACCAAAACCAGGAAGGAAGCAGAATAAAGAGATGAAGCCTTGAAAACACTATGCCAGCCCTATCTGGGAGCAGATGCTGAACATCTCAGCTGTATAAGCCAATGTACTTGCCTTCTCATTTCAGTCAGTTCAAATTAGTAAAGCAAGTGGCTCTTACAATAACATGATAGTTACCGTACTTACTCTGGGGTCTTGGTCGTCTCTGATGACAATTTCTTCTTCTGGTAGAGACTGCATAAAAACTGGATTCCACTGACCTGCAACATTACTACAGAAAAAAAGTTCAAAAGTTTACCAAAAAAATGGCCACACACTTTGGCAGTATCTGAGTAGGAAAGGCCTCATCAGTGAATCCCTTGCAACCAACCACAACTTTACCACTAAGCAGTTTTCCTTACAATCTGTTCTTACTGTCTGTGTCTGCACAGGTGCAAAAATGTGCATGTCCTTGTGGAGGCCAGGTCTCAATGCCAAATGTCTTTTTCAACTCTTCTCCACCTTGTTTTACATTATGTACTCATTTTATTACTCTTGTGTGGTGAAAGCAGTTACACAGGTGCCACAGCAGACACATGGAGGTCAAAGGGAATCTTCTGAGTGTCTGTTCTCTCCTTCCACCACGGGTTCTGGAGACTAAACTCAGGTTGTCAGACTGCCACAGCTAGCACTTTTACTTACTGAGCTACTTCACTAGCCCCTGGCCTTATTTTTTTGAGACAGGGTTTCTCACTGAATCCAGAGTTCACCAACTTAGCTAAACTAAGCTAGCCAACAAGCTCCAGGGATCCTCATGTCTGCCTTGCCAGTGCAGGATTCTAAGCTTGCACTGCCCGGACTGACTTGCTGTTACATAGGTGGTGGGGATCTAAACTCAGGTCTTCATAAATTCATGGCAAACACTGCCAAATAAGCCATCTCCCAGATCCAAAGTTCTATGTTTAACAGGCAGCATCCTCAATTTAAAACCTGAAATATAAATCTACCAACAGCTGATTTTTACTATGTACTTAAATTTTACTAGATATTATCTAAGATGCTATTCTTGACACTATTCATGTTTGCCTTACAATCTCCTTCAAGAACGTGTTGGACTCAATTTGTAGCTGGGGAAATGAGTCTTAAGGTCTACCACAGCTGGTAAGCTGCTCAAAACCCTGAATTCAGAACCTAAGCCTTTTTGTTTAAGACGTGGCTTTACTCTGTAGCCCTAACTGGCTTCAATCTCTCAATGTGCTACTTACTGTACTAAGTTCCAAGCTCATGGTTTTTGAATGCTACCTATAAGAACTAAACTAATATTTTCCAATATCTGGCTTTGGATCAGAATAGACCTTTTTATAATTCTATTATGAAGTTTAGTGTTTAGGGTTCAATTTGTTTAGGTGGTTCTCAAAGGAATCTTTTTTTTTTTTTTTTTGGTTTTTTTTTTTGTTTGTTTGTTTTTTGTTTTTTTCGAGACAGGGTTTCTCTGTGTAGTCCTGGCTGTCCTGGAACTCACTCTGTAGACCAGGCTGGCCTCGAACTCAGAAATCCACCTGCCTCTCAAAGGAATCTTATAAGTAGGACGTTTCACACTTGATCTTAGCCAAAAGGCCAATGAAGTGTTTTAGTGGTTATGTATTTGATAAAAAAAAGTTTAAATCTGTTTATAAATATATTTGTAAATATTAGATATTTTTTAGATTAAGCTGGGTGTTGTGGCACACACCTTTAACCCCAGGACTAAGGAGGCAGAGGCTGTTGGATCTCTGAGTTTGAGGCCAGCCTGGTCTACAAGAATTCCAGGACAGCCAGGGATATTCAGAGAAACTCTTGAAAAACAAAACAATTTTTAACATTATTTCTGAATCATGTATATGGTATATGTGAGTCAATGTGAGTGTACATGTCCCAAGAAGCAAGAGGACTATGACCCTCTGTAGCTGGAGTACTAGGAAGTTAGTTATAAGCCACCCCACAGGTGTGCTGGAACTCAACTTCAACCCTTTGTAAGAGCAGTCTGAGTCTTAACTGTGTTGAGACCACAGTGAAAAAATTTAAAAGCAAATCAATGTACATTTAGATAAAGTATATCTAACAGTAGATTACCAAACATTAAATCGTACAATACAACTTTATATCATAAAACACTAGTTTTGTACTATAGCTCATTTTCTCTTCTTACTTGTCCTCTCCTTCCCACTTTCCCTCCCTCAAGGTATCACATATTCCAGGCTAGCCCTGAACTCACTATGTAGCTGAGGATGACCTTGGATTTCTAACCCTCTTGCCTCTACTTCCATCATTCGGGAACTGCAACCATGCTTGTATGAGGTGCTAGGACCTGAATCTAGGCCTCTGAGTGCGAGGAAGGTACCCTACTCACTGAGCAATATTCTCAGCCCTGAAGTTAATTTTCTCACGAGGAAAAACGTTTCCTGTTTTAAAGTTTTAAAGAACCATACTAGTTCAGTCTATCTCTGATATTAAGGAAATTGAGAATAAAAAATAATTTCAATGTGTTTGTTAAGTTGTGGGCATAAAAACATTAGATTACTAACAGTGAGATTCCAAATTATTGTTACTGTTTTTGCGGTACCTCTCCTATGAAATGTGGTATTTTATCTTAGCTCAATCCTAAGCATATTTGCTCTAAAATCAAAAAAGGTAACAACCACAAAAGGCAGCACTTCACAAAAATCCAGACAAGCACATCAGAATTCTTTGAACTAAATATGTGGCTCTACATGAAAAGGTCTCATCTCAGCATGGCTCTGCCTGGGGTAAAGCAGGAAGATAAAGGTTAAATATTTCCATACTGTTCGAAGTTGATATATTTCACAATTGTTTGGTTCTCAGCATCATGCCACAGTGCCCAGATATCCGTTGAGGTTAAGGCAAAATCGACCAATGTCTCCTAGGAAGAAATGGGGAAAAAATAACAAAGAAAAGGAAGCAGAGACTAAGCTTGCATTGACAAGAGAACAAAATGCATAACAGCACAACATGCCACATGAACTTGATAAAACCCAACTTAAACTGTTTCTTTACATGAAGAGGGGATGGAGAAATGGTTCAGTGGTTCAGAGCACTGCCTGCTCTCCCAAAATACTCTGGCTCAATTCCAGCACCCACGTGGTGGGCTCTCAACTGTCTATATATGAAATGCCTTAAGAATATAATCCCGTAGCAATACAGTGGGGTTAAAGAATACTGCGAGACTTGACTTGGTAACTACAGAAAGTTGCTAAGCTTTGGAACTCCCGTGTTTAAACGACCCTGCCTTAGATTCAAAAAAGCTATGACTACAAGGGCAAGCAACCTCACCATTTCCTTCCTGTGCCTGTGTGAAATGCACAGAATGGTTTAACTTACCTGAGAAGTGAACAGTGAAGAAATGTGATCTAAACTATAGCGATTATTCTCAGTGCTCACCAACTGGAAAATGCAGAACTGTTGAGAAACAAGTTAATAGTTCATCACTTCATAGAATCAACATGTTATTCTTCTAAGGAGAGAATTCACAATTCTGCCTCTGAGTGCTGGGAATATAGGTGTGTGCCACCAGACTTAACTAAAATATAAGAAAGTTTCCATCTTAACCATTTTTAAGAATGCAGCTTATATATATTGACATTGCTGTGCTACCCATATGCAGGACTCTACATCTTGCAAAATTGAAACTTTACTCCCATCAAACAACTCCCCTTTTACTCTCAGTCCCTCATACTTCGGTCATATTGCCTCTCAATAACCACTATGAGTCTATGATTACTATTTTAGAAACCAAGATGGGACCCTATGTTTGATCCTCAGTGTTTATGAGTGCCCAATTGTATGTACACATGCACCCATACACTTCCTATAAAATTAACTCCAGTTCCAGGGTGATTGATCCAATGCCCACTTCAAGTATTCATAGGTTCATGCATATATGTAGCGCACACACACACACACACACACGTAAACTTAAAATACACAATTTACAAAACATAAATACTATACATAAATTATATATAAACATATAAAAGTATTTTTCTTAAATGACAGTTGAAGACTAGGTTTAGTGCAGTGGTAGAGTCATTGCCTTGGGTTCAATTTCAATCCCTTACACTAGAGGAAAAGACAAAACAAAAACAAATTAAGGCACAAGATACTTATAAATAGTATTTTTGACAATTTTAACTAAAGAAAATTCACTGTGCACTGACAGTGTAATGATCTGTGCCATATACCATAGGTAGTAAGTTAAAATCTTTTTAATTCATGAGGACTCAAGTGTGTATGGAGGACAGCCTGCAGGAATTGGTTCTGGAACTGAACTCAGGCTGTCAGGCGTGGCTGCAAACACTGGGACCCACTTAGCTGTCCTGACACCACCCTCCTTTAACCACTTTTTTTAAAAAAAGGGTTTTTTTGAGATAAGATCTTTTGATATAGCTCTGATTGCTTTGGAACTATGTAGGCCAGGCTATCCTCAAACTCAGATTTGCCTGTCCTTGCCTTCCAAGTGCTGGGATGAGAAGCATGTGCCACTATGCCTGACTTTAAAAAATGTTATTTTTAGAAAGAGAAAGTTATAATTTTTTTTTTTTTTGTTTCCCCAGCAGTGGGGATTAAAACCTAGGACTTCACTCACTGAAGGTAGTTTTACTATTAAGCTATAGTCCCAGCATCACAAGCAAGCTATAGGGAAAAAAAACAAAAAACACTGAATTGTCTTCTGAGAAAAAAGAGGTGTATGAAATATGTAGGGGAGCTGGAGATGGCTTAGCAGATGAGAAGACTTAGGGAACTGGGCCCATCACTTGAATCAGACAGCTTGCTTATTCAGCTCTGAGGGACCTGACATCTTCTAGACTCAACGGCACCTGTACACGTCTGCGTGCATAGTTACACAAACACATAAGTACATACAAAAAATAAATCTTAACAAGTAGAAAAAAAGATCTATGTAGGGGATAAAGGTATAGTTTAGTGACAGTGCGAACGTGTAGTATGTATGAAGACCAAAAATAAAAAGTGTTGCACACCTTTAATCCCAGCACTTGGAAGACACAGGCTGGTGTGGATCTCTGAGTTCCAGTTTAGTCAGTGATACTACACAGAGTCTGTCTCAAAAAACAACAAATGAACAAAAACCACAATAGAACTTAATACCACACTAACTCCCTAAAGAATTAGAATTCACCAATTCACTGTGGTATCTGTTATAGTAAAAATAAATGTTTTATTAAAAAAAATTCCTGTTCTATGTCTATCATTACAAAAGTGCATACCAAGTAGCAAAGTAAAACGTGTATTGTAGAATGTAGCCCAAACAAAACAACAAAATCCCGAAAATTCCAGTTGAGTACATGAGTTTCTCAAATGGCTTGTGACAAAAAATGAATTTATTCCATTTAATTCTTCTGGACACTCTTAAGATGTCCCTTAGTGTGGCCTTAAAACCATGATAATCCTCTTGCTTCAGCCTTCTGGATGCTGGGATTAAATATATATATCATAACCCCAGGCTTATTTAATTTTTATTAATTTAATTTCTTATTTACTTAGTATTCATGTATGTTGTAACATGGGCCATGTCACTCAGAGAACGACTTTAAGGAGGTTCTCTTCTACTGTGTATGTCCTGAAGATCTGACTCAGGTTGTCAGGCTTGAAGGCTGGTATCTTTACCCACTAAGCCATTGTATCAGCCCTGTCATGAGAATTTCCACTGTGGAGAATAGGGGGTAGGGTCTCAGGGCTCAAACAGGGAAAGGACAGCAGAGTCCAACCAGACTTCTAAGCAAGACAAAAAAAAAAAACCTAGCATGGGGAATAAGAGCTCCAGTAAGTAAGGAAGACACATCCTCTATCTGGTAGAGTTACAGTAAGCTTGTTCAAGTGTTGCTACATAGAATGCCTATTACCATGCCAAGCACACAACAATCGGCTATTTATTACTTGATTACACTACTGTATACATTCTGTATGCCTCACCTATCAACACCACCAGGATCTGGGAGGTGAACATTTATTTCTAAACATTAATTTCACCATAACTACTTCCTAATACACTAACATCTGCATTCCTTTTCAGCAATTTTATTTTCTTCACCTAGATTTTTCAAATCTTTCTAACTTTCCCTTCAACTTCTCTTTAATCCTTACCACCCCTTCCCAATTTTCTAATTCATGTTACCAGCACAAAACCCAATCACCCTTCGAACAACTTAATATTTTAAACAAAGCTAAGTGGACTCAGTGAGCCTGATATTTCCCCAAATCAATCCACAAAATTTATGCACTCATGCATGCACGCACGTGCACACACACATGTGCGCTCGCGCGCACACACACACACACACACACACACACACACACACACACTTCATTTCATACCTGTCCTCGTTTTGGAGCATGCATATATACTCCTAGGTAGAGCCCCATGGAAGGGGAATAGGCGAGCCGTAATTTATGCCCTGTGCCTGCAGTGAGCCGAAGATCTTTGTTTACAGGGACGTATTCCAGCATGTCAGCCACCATCAGGCACATTTGGTCCTGCCCAAGAGAAGAGTTAATAGGTGATGTTCTAAGAATACTGAGGCTAGAAATACATCCTTAACCTTTCAAAAAAGTCTGGCAGAGGCATACATCTTTAATCCTAGAATTTAGGAGGTAGAGGCAGTTGGATCTTTGTGAGTTCCAGGCGAGCCAGTGCTACACTGCAAGACCTTGTCTCAAAACAAAAAAAATTACCAGCTTTTTTTTTTTTTTTTTTTTTGCGGATCATCTAATCAACATGCATTAATTCTTTCCTTAATTTTATGTATATGTATGTTTTGCCTCCATGTATATCAGTGTACACCTATGTGCTTAGTGCCTTTGGAAACCAGAAGGTGTCAGATTGCCTGGAAATGGAGTTACAGGAAATTATGAGCCATTATATGGGTTCCGGGAATTGAACTTCAACCCACCGGAAGAGCAGCCAGTGCTGTTAACTACTGTTAGCCAGGGCCATCTCTTCAGCTCCAACATGGATTTTAATAACAGTTGTGGGGACTAAAACCACCAGTTAACTCCAGTTGCAGGGGCTCTGACACCTCTTCTGACATCCACAGGCACCAGGGATACATGAATTACACATATCTGCATGCAAGCAAACAGTCAATACACATAAAAGAAATCTAAGAAAAAACATTTGAAACAGTTGTTGCCATTAAGTAAAGAGTGTATCTCATATTATCCTTTTAGGTCTTATAGGGCCCATAATTCTCAAAATAAAAAATATAAAAATGTATAGAAAATGTTAATTCAAAATGTCAAGATCTGAAAGAAAATCATGATTTTTAACCCAAATGATCTGATCACCCTTATACGAAGCAGCAGGACTGATTTCAATCCTTCCGTACTTCACTCACATTTTTAACTTACGCCAACCATAAGTGTAGTACTTACCTTATAAGACCACATTCGTAGTTTATGATCCTGACACAGGGCAAAAATAAAGGCATCATGTTCAACACAATGAACAGCAAGACTCAGGGCACGATCTGAAGGCCCATGATCACCCCTAAAAACAAAGAACAAACTTTAGAATTTTCACTACTGCAGATAAGTGAATCATTAGAATTTGTAATTTAATAGGTAAAATAAAATTGTAAATGGATATTCTTAGCAGAAAGAACATGAATTTATATGCTGGTATACGACAAATACGTTTATGCTATTACTGTAAAATAGAATATGGTCTATATCACAAAAAAAGTGACTCATTTCATATTGGTTTAGTAATGTCCTACATTAATTCTTATTTTTTAACTTTCAACCTATAGTACCCTTTGTTTGTTTGTTTGGTTTGGAGATAGGTTCTTATTTTGTAGCTTTGGCTAGCTTAAACTCACAGGTATTTACCTGCCTCCTAAATGCTAGGATTAAAAGTGTATGTAACTACATTAGGCTTATTAGATCTTTATAAAAATAATACTTTTTAATTGCATATTTATGTCAGAGAGAGAGGGAGAGGGAGAGGGAGAGGGAGAGGGAGAGGGAGAGGGAGAGGGAGAGAGAGAGAGAGAGAACATCAGGGTTCATGTGTGAAGGTCAGAGGACAACACAGTAGCTGGTTTTCTTCCCTCCAGCATGTGGGACTTACAATAGAACTTAGGGTGTCAGGCTCTCTGGCCAGTGCCTTTACCTACTGGGCCATCTTACACGCTCTACTTTAGCCATCTTCCAGAAAACTGGATTTGGTTAAGCCAGGGCACAGCATGGGATTGGACATTGTGAAAATATAGAAGAATGGTGTCAAAGTGTGGACACTGCAAATAAGGCAGGTTCTGGAGTGTGGCTTTCCTCAGGCAAGACATCATGCCATGTACTCTTCTGCTCCGTGCAGAATATGCCATGAAGTACAGCTGGAAGTAGTAACACAGGATTACAACTGAGTCCTTTGAGTTCTTGTAGGACATGATTTACTGTTGGGGTTAGTCTTGTACACTGTGTATTCAGATGTTGAGTTCTGTGCCCCAAGATCAGGTTGCAGTCTGGACATGGGCATTGAATTGATCAATGTGCTATAAAGAATGCTCACCAATAATCTGACTCATTATTAAAAGGTTAGAGTTTGTGACTGGGAAGGAGAGAGAGGAAGGCAGGAGTTGAGATTGAGTAGGAAGTCTCGGGTAGGGACTACAAGGAGGAGGATGAAAGGAGGAGGAGGTGGTTTTGGTTGCCATTAATTAGGATGGAAAAGGAGTACAGATAGCAGAGGCTACCCAGGAAGACACTAATTTGGCAAGTTATAGGGCATTCATGTGGGTTTTAACAGCGTGGAAGGAAGAACCTGCCTAGCACAGAACCAACAGCTAATTAGTAATTATATTTATCGTTTTATTAATTAATTAATTAATTAATATTTAAATTATTTATTAATTTATTTATTAATAAATTAGTATTTCTGTGTCATTTTCTTGGGAGCAAAACAGGCAAAAGTGGGGTAGAAACTTCCAATAGATATTAAGATGCAAAAGGGGGGTATAGCACCTCCAAAAAAAATATTTATAGCAGTAACTTACCTTATAGCTGTGGGCATCCAGCCTGTGAGCAACCGCTGCATCACTGAACTCTGTTTCAGTTCCACAACTGATGCTATCCCTGCAATGATACCCAAGAAACCTCTTGATTTTAACCTAGAGAAACCCAATGCCATGAATGATATGACGAAGAATGAGATCTTTATATGACAGGGCTCTGTGTTTTCTATACCAACAAGGTTCTTAAATGTACTTTTCTACATATATCATACTTAAAATACTTTCAATCAGTATGAGATCAATAAAAATGGCATTTTTTATATTCTTAGGAGAAATGCCTTGCCATTTGCAGACAGCAACATATTCTTTCACTCAATAGGCTCATTTCATATTCTTATCCTTTTTTTTGGGGGGGGGAAGGAGGGGGGTCGAGACAGGGTCTGTGTGTAGCCCTGGCTGTCCTCGAACTCATAGATATATCTACCTCTGCCTCTCGAGTGCTGGGATTAAAGGCGTGTGCCACCACTGCCCAGCCATCTCATATTTTCTTAATCACTGGGTGCTTTTCATGTGGCAGTAGTTCTAGGTGTTGGAGATTCACTAGTCAATAAACAACTGCCCTCAGGAAACTTCACATTTTATTGTTGTAGGATGAGAGAAGCAGGGGGTTAAATTAGTAGCAAAAAAGACAAAAATGAGTATTGCTGGCATGTCTGTGAAGGGAAGACTGATTTCCAAAAGGATGGTCAAAGACCTCAATGAGGAGACACAATTAAGAACTAAAAACATCGAGGGGGAATTAAAATGTAGGAATATGCCTCACGCCTTTAAAAACTACAAAAGGGCATGTAGCTGGTATTGAGGACAAGGGAGAGGAAAATGAAATGAGCTTAGAGACAACAGTGGGGCACTCACAGTGAGACAAGTACAGAGCCTGGGGTTATTCACATTATAACGAGCATTGTGATAACATGGTCTCATATGACCCAATCAGCTTGTTTTTCACATTTATTTACATATAGGGATGCTTTGCCTGCACATGTATATGCACACCACCTGCATGCCTGATACCCTTGACGTCCAGAGGACACCAGATCCTGTGGAGCTGGAGTTGCAGACAGTTATGAGCGGGAATGTGAATGCCTTAGAAATGGAAAAGCAGCCAGTGCTTTTTAACTGCTGAGCCATCTTTCTAGTCCCCCAACCAATTTTTTGTTTGTTTTTGGTTTTCGAGACAGGGTTTTTCTGCATAGTGCTGGGTGTCCTAGAACTCCCTCTGTAGACCAGGCTGGCCTCAAACTCACAGAGATCAACCTCCCTATGCCTCCCAAATGCTGGGATTAAAGGCATGCACTACCATTGTCTGATTACTCACATTTAATATATTAATCTGCTCAAGAAGTTCCTGAAATGGGAGGACAGATCTGGAGACATTTAGGACATTATAATGCAGGCAAGAGACAGTGGTGACTTAGAAGAGGGATTAGTTGTCAAACATGGTCCCAAAACTCATTTGTTTTATGAGGGTGGGAGAACTAGTAATCTGTCTCTGTTAGACTCAGAATAGGCTACTTGATATATTTCTGTTTTCCCATACCCAGCTCCATTCTGGTTCCTCATCCACTGAATAAAGAAAGGTAAAGCAGCACGGACTGAGCAAGCAATAACAAAGCAGAAGTAGTACAGACTGACTGGATGGGAGTGAATGTTTCAGTGTCAGCACTGATGGATGATTCATGCTCAGTGCCCATACTTACCAGGTATGTCATAAGGAGGGAGCTTAAGAACAAAGATACCACCAGAAGCAGATGGCAGAGCAAACAGAGCCTCCCCATCACTGCTAAGCCAGGCTGCAGAAGTGGTGGAACTTGGGGATAGTCCAGGTACTGTTGGAATTAACTGATAGTTGCAAGGATCTCTGAAATCAACTTTTCCAATGTCAGTAAATATTGATTGCATCTGACTTTCAGTTACCAGCTCCTGTAATGGAAAAGAATACTTTAAAATAACCTGAATTTTATTTTAGTTCCTTTCAATTACTAAAAATGTTTATTGAAAAAGATGTTGAGGGGTTGAGAGGATAGCCCAGTGGTTATAAGCACCCATGACTCTTGAAGAGGATCTGGGCTGTGTTCCCTGCAACTACATAGTGGCCCACAATTAACTGTAACTCTGATTCCAGGGATCTGATGCCCTCTGTCTCCCGCAGGCACTGCATGCATGTGGTGCACTTACATACATGCAAACAAAACAGCCATACACATAAAATAAATCTTAAAAAAATTGCTGAGGAGAGACAAAAGCTTCCTCTCCTCCCTGCCAGTCAGACTGCCATTATGTAACCCGGGTTGGCGATGAACTTCCTCTGTATAGCTGAGATTGCTCCAAGACCTGAAATTCTCCTGCGTCAGACTCCCTGTCTACTGGGTATAGATGGGTACTGTAGTACCTAATGAAAATTATCTTTTTTAAAGAAAGAAAACTATTTTATCAAGCTAAAATGTCTGATTTTTATTATTGAGACAGGGTCTCATACAGTACAAGCTGGCTGTGAACTCTGGTATGATCTTAAAGCCCAATCTTTCTACCTGCATCTCCTAAGTAGTGGGATTACAGGCACAAAGCTCAATTTATGAGGCTGGAACCCAGGGCTTTGTTTATACTAGACAAGTACTCTATGACTGAATAACATCCCCAACCTCATTATTTCAAACAGTAACTATAAAGTATGCTACATAAGGGTTAACAAGAAATCTAATTTTTTTTTCCATCTCAAAAATAATTTCAGTCGCCAGGCGGTGGTGGCGCACACCTTTAATCCCAGCACTTGGGAGGCAGAGGCAGGCGGATTTCTGAGTTCGAGGCCAGCCTGGTCTACTGAGTGAGTTCCAGGATAGCCCGGGCTATACAGAGAAGCCCTGTCTCGAAAAACAAAAAAAAAAAAAAAAAAAAAAAAAAAAAAAAAAAAAAAAAAAAAAATCCAGTCTTCTTTTTTTTTTTTGTTGCATTTTTTAATAAAAGATTTACTAATTTATTTTATGTGTGTGAGTATATTATTGCTCTCTTCAGACACAACAGAAGAGGGCATCAAATCCCATTACAGATGGTTGTGAGCCACCATGTGGTTACTGGGAATTAAACTCAGGACCTCTGGAAGAGCAGATTGCGTTCTTAACCACTGAGCCATCTCTCCAGCCTTCATTTCAGTCTTCAATCTGTGATATCGTAATATGGGAAACAAGTTACTGCACACAACAATCAACTTACACTTCTGTACATACGGGAAGGGTGTGGTAAAATTAATCTGTGCACTGTCTGATTGGTTAATATCAAGATTATCACATGATTCTGAGTCTCAGAGACATGAACACCACTGGGTAAGATGCTGGAATTTTGGAATTTTAGGCGAACAGCATTATTCAACAAATTTAAGTCCAGTGATTCCTCCACCAGCTCCAATGTATCCCCAGAAGTCTTCCTGTTAAAACAAAGACAGATTTGTTTAAAGTTTTTTTTTTTCCTCAATGACTGCTGCAATAAAATGTATAGAAGTATATAAATGAACTCTCCTGATTTGAAAAGATTAGACAGTTGGGAGGCAGAGGCAGGCGGATTTCTGAGTTCGAGAGTTCAAGGCTAGCCTGGTCTACAGAGTGAGTTCCAGGACAGCCAAGGGCTACACAGAGAAACCCTGTCTCGAAAAACCAAAAAAAAAAAAAAGATTAGACAATTCAACATGGACCCACACTCTTTTCAGGGTCTCTCTACATAGCCCTGCCTGTCATGAAACTCACTACATCAATCTCACAAAGATTCTATGGCCTCTGCCTCCTGAGTGCTGGAATTAAAGGGGTGCATCACCATGTCTGGCTTGGACCACTTTTCCATTTAAGAATATATTATATAGATCTATAAAACACAGTGCAACAAAAAATCTCTCACTATGGTAATAGTAAATATACTTCCTATTTCCTTAATCCTAATTCAACTATATAAAAATTAAACTACCCATCACTTGTAGAGAAATGAGGTATTCATGTCCACTATATCACCAAACAAAATTGTTCCTAAAATAATAAGCACATTTCCTTTTTCTATTATTTTTTTATCATATTTTGAAAAACAGCAACTTTATGAGTTTTATACTTACTGTGTAAAGGTCAGTATTTCTTTCTTTTGTTGTTGTTTTTTTGTTTTGTTTTTCGAGACAGGGTTTCTCTGTGTAGTTCTGGCTGTCCTGGAACTCACTCTATAGACCAGGCTGGCCTCGAACTCAGAAATCCACCTGCCTCTGCCTCCCAAGTGCTGGGATTAAAGGCATGTGCCACCACCACCCGGCTGGTCAGTATTTCTTAATATTTTTAAAAAATATAAAAATAACTGCATGTTGAGTATATCAAGGTTAGTTTCTTCACTATAAAAAACTAGTCCAATTTCCTAGCCCTCTTCAAAGAGAGCTTCTGAATAAACGAAGTAAGATCTTTGAGTGCAGAATTACCATGTATATCTGCAAACCTAGGAAAAGTGTCTGAATCAGAGCTGACATTCAATAAATGCTGTCTGATAAGATATAAATGCAACTGGCAGCAGGGAGGTGGGGTGAGGTGGGGGCTTTGTTCAATCCAAGTCACAACACAGGAACCAAACTGTTTTGTTGAGAGTCATCAGCCTGAATTTAAATTCATATAATTCTAATTACCCTCTATTGCCTGTGCTGTCCTTTGTGTCCATCACAAATGCTGTCATTTTCTCTTACTGTGAAAAGTATTTCTCACTTTTGTCTTCTAAGAACTTGTCATTTTTAAACATCTTTAATACATACTTACTGGTCTATGTCTACATGTAGTTTGGATCTTGAATATCTTCCAAAGTCTTATATGTTAAAGGTTTAGTCCTCAGGGCACTACTGGGATGTTATAGGATCTTTAAAAGGTGAGGTCACAGGTCCAAAGGAAGAATAGCTCAATTCTGGACCAGGACCTCTAAAAAAGTATGAACCAAAATGACTCTTTCTCCTTAGACCCTAGCTGCCTTGCTTAACAAACCCACAGGTTCTCCTCAGACCCCAGCTGCTTCAACAAACCCAAAGATTCTCCTCAGACTCCAGCTACCTCAACAAATCCACAGATTATCTTCAGACCCCAGCTACCTCAACAAACCCACAGGTTCTCCTCAGACCCCAGCTGCTTCAACCAACCCACAGGCTCTACATCTGCAAATTCAACTAGCCAAAAACTGAAAACACCCAAGAAAACAAACACACAACCTGTTTGTACCTGGACTCTTTATTCTTCCCACCATCCTCCTATACACACTATTAACATCATATAAGACATCAAAACACAATTATTTACACAGTATTAACATCATATAAAGCATCAAAAGTGGGCTAGAAATGAACTAAAGTATGTTGGACATGCAGATTATTTGCAAATACTATGTTCTTTAAAAGTATGAAGAACTAGTATCTGCAGAGGTGCTGAAACCAGTTCCCTAGATACAGAGAGACAACAGCACTTCAGCTTTCTTCTTAGGGCCCTTTTATTTATTTTTTTTTTAAAAATTATTTATTTATTTTACTTATATGAGTACACTGTAGTTATCTTCAGACACACCAGAAGAAGGCATCAGATCCCATTACAGATGGTTGTGAGCCACCATGTGGTTGTTGGGAATTGAACTCAGGACCTCTGGAAGAGCAGTCAATGCTCTTAACCACTGAGCCATCTCTCCAGCCCTAGGACCCTTTTCTTAGCAGCACCAGGTGACATTAATATCTTGCTGTGATCACACTGACTTCAGAATAAAATGAACTTTTACTTGAAGCAATAATCAAGACTAAAATTTAAATAAAGAAGCCAACCAACTTATTCTTCTTAACTTTTAGCTTTTAGTTTTATCCCTCTGCCCCTTTTGAAAAAATATATTCTTTTATTAATACTGTTCTAGTCAGCTGCATATGATGGCCCATATCTTTAATACCAGCACTCTGGAGGCGAAGGCAGATCTTTGTGAATTAGAAGTCAGCTTAGCTACATGGTGAGTTCCATAACAGCCAATAATACACAGTGCGACCTTCTCTCACCCTGACACCCTCACACACAAAAAAAGTTAACAATTTTGGGGCTAGAAGGATGGTTCAATGATTAAAAGCATCGGTTGTTCCTTCAAATGATTCAGGTTTGAATCTCAGCACCCATATGACAGCTCACAACCATCCATAACTCCAATTCCAGGGACTCAGACAACCTCTTCCGGTCTTCAACAGTACCAGGCACACATGTGGTGCACATAAACATATGTAGGTAAAACACATGAAATTTCTTGGAGCTTAATCATTTCAAGTTCTCTTCATTTTCCTTGTCCAATTTATTTGGCTTCTTTCAAATATGTATCAAGTGTCATGAATCAACTGTTTGCTTGATAATGACAGGTGACATCTCACCTAGAAGTTTCTCATCTTGACTCATTTTACTGATATTCAGCCCTTTCTCTTTGGATTGTCATATTTGGTTCATGTAAATTGTAGTGCTGTTTTTGACTGAGGTGACTGACTTTACTCACAACAGAGGAAAAAAAAAAAGTTATGAATGAATCTAGGCTTTTCTATTCGCTAAGAGTAAAAGTTCTAAAAATAAAAATCTATTGATCTTTGCTGAGGGATAGATAACCTAGCAGGAGATAGTTTAAAGCAGCATAAAAGAAAACACCAGGAACATATTCTGTTGCTATTCTTAAAAAAACAAAATGGACAAAAATTACTCACGGCAGGTCATACAATTTAAGAAATTATAATACATACTATGGTGGTTTGATTAAGAATGGTTCCCATAGACATATATTTGAAAGCTTAGGGAGTGGCATTAGATGGTGTGGCCTTATTGGAAGAACTGTCACTGGACTTGGGTTTGAGGTTTCAGAAGCTTGAGCCATGCCCAGTGGCTCACTCCTTCACTCTGTTGTCTGCTGATCCAGATGTAGAATTCTCAGCCACCTCTCTAGCACTATGTCTGTCTGTGTGTCCCCATGCTTTCTAGCAAGATGACAATGAACCAACCATCTGAACCTGTAAGCAAGCCTCAATTAAACGCTTTCCTTTATAGGAGGTGCTGTGGTCATGGGGTTTCTTCACAGCTATAGAAACCCTAAGACACATAATACTATGCTTAAACAAAGCCAGGCCTTTGACAGGATTTGAGAAGATTTCTCCAAGGTGCAGGAGTCTCTTCCCATCCCCTTACCAATCTCCATTTGCATCCTTGTCCCCAAAACCAAGTCTCCCTCAGTTAAAACATCGATCTTTCTAAGAGTGGGATTCTTTTGCATCCATCCTCCTCCTTTCAGTCTTTCTTTGATATTCACATTCTTGGTACCCTGGACTCCCCTCTAACCCAGCTCTCAAGGTCTGTCTATTCCCTTCCATGGTATCTACTTGATCCTTCTTTGCTCATGCTTAGCTAACTTTTCTGATCCTTAGGATCTCAGTTTAACTGTGACTTTCTATACCCTCCCCTCTCCTCCCCTGCCAATACCATCTGATTATACCATTACTTCTTATAGTTCATAGACTTTTCTCTGGGGCATGAATATAAATATATAAATATAAATATATATATATATATATATATATATATATACCTATGTTATATCATTAATGTCTTTTGTGTGTGTGAAACTGGTACAGCAAAAGTGGCATCCACTATATGTCTACTATTTTATAGCTACAATGTCTTACACCATTTCCTAGTACTCAGCGCCAAGAATGATACGTACAAGCTTAATCTCATCAATAGAATGATGCTTCAAAGACTATAATGATGTTTTGAATTCAATTCATGGCTAACATGGGTCTTCAGTGTTGTATATCAACTACATTCCTTTAGTTTTATCCAGCTACAAGAATACTTCTAGAACTGATTCTGACATGAACACGGAGACACTGGTTCTCTTCCTGTGTGTGGATAACTGCTAGACGAAATTAACTTGGAATAGGTACAAATATTTACACATTAGACAACCCTACACCTCTGTAGGTGAGGGAGGAAAGCAGCACTTACCAATGAATGAACCTGTTTCTGGTGATGGAGAACAACTTGCCACTTTCCACATAATAGAAGCCTCCTGCGCTCTCACTGTATTTCACCGTTCCAAAGGCGGCACTTGCAGCTCCTACAAAATGAATGTGGTGGGCTTGCACACGTGGTTCTCTGGGGGATGACAGGCACTGAAGAGTGCTGAGGAAGCAGAGTGTAAGGGACTGACAGTGCATACAATAATAAGTGGAAAAGGGAGAAAGAAGTCAGGCACAAGACAGACTGTGTGATGCACAGGCTTTAGGCATGTGGACTTGGATAAATCAGGGGAGACCAAAGGCCTACTTGGGGAGCCCGAGGGAAAGCAGTGGCTCCCATTCTCCCAAGCCCTTTCCGTACCAATGTCGCAGACTGTAAATTCCCGAAAGTGCCTGGGCCTTTCGCGTTCAGCTCCGCTCAGTTCCACGAAGCTCCGTTCCAGCGATCCCGCCGCCGCCATCTTCCCGCCGTCGCCGCGAGGCCTGACGGGACAAGGGCGGGTCACGTTGTACCGTCACTTCCGGGGGTGTGACGCAAGGCGGGTCTGGGCGACTTTAGCTGGCTGAGGACAGTGGGTCGGAGGGTCATCTGCGGCTTTTCACCGCGAGAATGTGGCTGTGGCGGGAAGAAGATGCCTCGACTCGCGGTCACTTCGGAGCGGCCGGCGGCGGGCGGCGGCGCCCTCTCCCGACTGCCTCGAGCAGGGGCGGGGCTGTATGTGTTTTCATTTTGAAAAACGGGCGCGGGCGAGAGCGGCGGGGAAGAGGCCTGACAGGTACACTCAGCTAGTGGTCACCTTCCCCTCCCTTAGAGTGTTGGCGTGTAAGTTGTTACCCAGCCGCTTCATCGTTCAGCGAAACAAGGAAGGAAAGTGAATGGAAGAGGAATCTTTTGTGTTAGCATTTTTGCGAGCCTTTTTTTACACACCCACAAACACATGTTTTGAGATGGCAGCTCAGGTTGGCCTTTGAACTCTGATCCTCCCACCCCAACCTCCCGAGTAGTAGGATTATAGGCACTTGCCACCCTGACCGATACGAGTCGGATGCATTGAATTACATTAATGCTTCAACCTTCTGAGGTTACCAAAATGCAGTACAATTTACAAACGTGTAAGGAATTGTTTTTAAAATTTTTCTCTGGGATTGGTCAGTATTCTGGAAGTTGAAGAAGGTGGATTGATCATTCAAAGCCAGCTTGGGGCTACATAGTGAGACTTTGTAAATGAAAGAGTAAATAAGTAAAAACTACAGCTTCGGGCTTACAGCTGAACATATTCCTTGTCAACTCCATCAGAATCATAACATTGCACAGTTCCATAATTCTCCAGCAATTCCATTTCCCTTGACCACTTATTGCCTGAGTGACTATTTTGTGATTGTACCTGCCCACACCTTTCTCACCCCAACTCTTAGCTTACTTTGAAGTCAGGCCAAGTGGGCAAAGTGGTTCAGGAAAGCAGCTTTTGTAAGTACGTAGATCAGGAGTTCAAGATTATCCTCTAATTTATGTCAAGATCAAGGCAAGCCTGAAGCTGCCTGAAACCCTGGCTCAAGTCAAACAAAAAGCAGCCAAGCGTAGTGGCCCATCCCCTTCAACCCCAGCACTCCGGAGTCAGAGGTAGGTGGGGTTCTGTGAGTTAAAGGCCAGCCTGGACTACAGAGTTGAGTTCCAGGACAGTCAGGGCTACTCTGTCTTGACACCCCCACACCCCCACAAAAAAAGACAACTTGCCTTGCAACCATATTTCCCAATACCAGCAATTATAGCTTTATACTTCTGTTTCTGTACGTTGAACTGTGTCTGAGCTTATAGACACCCTTCCTACTTTGACCTTTGGTCAACTGATCATTTTAGCATCTTTAATTTTTCCATTTTTACTAAGTTGTTACTCTAAATCTCACTGAGATAAAGAGTCTCCCCTAGAGCCCTGTCTTCTATACTTGGTGAAAGGGAGTTATGTCTGCACCCAGTGGATGCATTTTAGTGGATCAAGATGAAGTATAAGGTCCTGGTCCTTCGCTTCTTTCCATCTAGGACCATCCTGGTCAATTTCAGTACAGTTTTCTCTGCCTGCTCCTGCTTTCTTCACTCCCTTAGCAATGCTGTTCTGTAAGCATGCTATGTGCTCCTTCCTGTGTGCAAATCTCTGCCTCAGAGACTTTTTTTTTTTGAGAGGGGAAGTACACACACACACACACACACACACACACACACACACACAGAGAGACATACACAATTTTAATAATCTTTTAAAAAAGAATACCTGTTGTTGGGGTTGGTGGTACACATCTTGAACTCTGGCACACAGAAGGCAGATGCAGGTAGATCTCTATGAGTTTAAGGCCAGCCTGGTCTATGGAGTGAGTGAGATATGTTTTGAGGAACTTGATGTTAGTGTCGTTTTCCCCACATATTCAAAATATCTCTCAGGACAGAAAGAATGGAAGATGAATGGCGAGGAATGCTGTAAGAACACTGCCTCCTCAACACAGCCTAGTGGCTGCTCTCAGGAGGTCATAACTGTGGTTACCTACACAAAAGACAGTGCCTGTCAACATTCTGTTGTGGGGGTTGGGCTATGTGGCCCCACCCCTCCCTGAGGAACCAAAGGTAAAGTCAGTGGCAGCTGAGAGGGAGGGGTCATTTTCTTCAGTGGTGTATTTACTGGTTAGTTGCCAGTGCTCCTATAAATAATCCCCTCTCATGCTCTTTCAAGCAACCCTCATTAAACTCAGTGAGTCACAGAGATAGAAAAGACGTGAAAGTAGAAGAGGAACTACTTGGAAAGAAGGAAGGGCTCATCAGGAAGGGTGCAAAAGAAGGTGATGGGGGTCCATGATGAAGCTGGGAATAGTGGCCCACGCCTGTCACCCCAGGTACTTGGAAGGTGGAAGCATTCTAGGCCAGTCTCAGCAACATAGTTTGAGGCCTGCCTAGGCTGCATCAGACCCTGTCTCACAGACATAAACAGAAGATTTTATTAGAGTATGTTTGCCTTTTTTATTAATGTTATTCATTTTACAAATGATGGACATCATATGACATTTTCGTACATGTAGTTTAACGTACTTTGTTCACATTCACCTGTTAGCAAATCTTGTCCTCCCTTTCCCTCTTACTGTTCCCCTTCCTCTTCCCAAATTATAGTCGTCCTCCCTTCCCCTTTTATGCATGTATACATATATTTAAATCTGGATTTTTCGTGTAAGAGCCAACAGGCAGAACTTGTTTTGTGTGCCCCCCTTTATTAATAATGATTTCCAATGTAACCATTTTCATTCAGATGATATGATTTTCTTCTTGTTTATGGCTGGATAAAACTTTAGATACAATGTTTTTCAGACTTCAAGCCATCTTTGACCTTTGGTCCATGTTACAGTAAATTCAAGGTGAATTGCAGTAAGTTAACAGCAACACTTTACATTGCCCCAACTTAGTGACTTCTTTAGGTGGTAATTCAGTGGGAATTATTGAATTATTCAGTGGAATAATTTCTTTCAATGAGAATTAGTGTTATTTTACAGCGAGTACTTTCTATGTAATTTACATTATTTCAGGTTCCAGGAATGTGGTTTCTTGTCATTTGACTTTCAAAAGTGATAATAGCAATGACTTGAGATCTAGCCACAGTGCAAAAGTCTTATTATTTTTCTATTTCTTTAGATTTTTAAATGTTGGCTTTTATCTTCATGTTGTTCTATTAATCATAGTAACTAGCTTTCCAGTTGAAGCATATTAGTTTGTCCCACACTTAGTTTTTCAGTCTTTATTGCATGCCTCCCTGTGTGTTGCACACTGGGTTATAATGATCCCCTAAAATAGGCTATGCAGCCAGATACCTTATTTTTCTTGTTTTTAGAGACAGGGTTTCTCTGTGTAACTCTGGTTGTCTTGGAACTCCCTCGGTAGACCAGGCTGGCCTTGAACTCAGAAATCCACCTGCTTCTGCCTCCCAAATGCTGGATTAAAGGTGTGCCACCAACACCCAACTAAGTTATTTTTTAAACACTACAAAAATTTAAAGTTTTCTGCTTTTTAGTTTCTCTCAGTTTAAAAACTGGGTTGCAAAAGGGGAAGTAGAGATAATGGTAAGATATGGTAATTATACAAGTTAGTTACAGTAAAGGTAGAGCTGGAATATCACAGGAGAGAACCAGGCAAGCAGTGTCTGAGATGCTTGGGTCATAGTCTAAAGATGTTTCCTTTATTCCTGAATAGTTTGGATTAATGTTAACTGTCTTTCCTTAACAGCTTAGTGCTGAAAGAACTGAATAAATTCTTTGTTTGCTTGTTTGTTTATTTGCCAAGGTCTCAGTATGCAGCCCTAATTTCCTGGAAATTCACTATGTAGATTAGGCTGACCTCAAACTCAGAGATTTACCTGTCTTTGCTCCCCAAGTATCAAGATTAAAGGCGTGAGCCACCATGCCCTATTATAAATTCCTTTTTTTTTTTTTTTTTTTTTTTTTTTTTGGTTTTTTGAGACAGGGTTTCTCTGTATAGCCCTGGCTGTCCTAGAACTCACTCTGTAGACCAGGCTGGCCTCGAACTCAGAAATCCGCCTGCCTCTGCCTCCCGAGTGCTGGGATTAAAGGCGTGTGCCACCATCGCCCAGCTATAAATTGCTATTGTAGGTTTTACATATGAATATGAAATGGACCTGCAGGTAAAATGCCTACTATGTAAGCCTGGTGACCAGAGTTATCTCAGAATCCATGTAAAGGTTAACAAAAGAGAATTGACTCTTACAGATTGTCCTCTGATCTCCACATGTGAGCTACGGCATAATAATTTATAATTAATATGTTTTATTATATAACTTATAATTCTTCTAAACAATTCATTCCTTTTTTATTGTATATGTATGTGTGAGTTCCTGCATGTGTACATATGGACCACATGCAGGCCTGGTACCTTAGAAGGTCAGAAGAGGGAATTGGATCTCTTGGAATTTGAGTTACAGGCAGTTGTGAGATACCATATGGGTGCTGGGAATGGAACCCAAGTACGCTGGAAGAGCATTGAGGGATCCTAACTGCTGACCCATCTCTACAGTTCCATAATAAGTTTGTTTTATATATATATATATATTATTTATTTATTATATATGAATACACTGTTGCTGTCTTCAGACACACCAGAAGAGGGCATCAGATCTCATTACAGATGGTTGTGAGCCACCATGTGGTTGCTGGGATTTGAACTCAGGACCTCTGGAAGTACAGTCAGTGCTCTTAACCACTGAGCCATCTCTCCAGCCCCCATAATAAGTTTTTATTGTCATCTATCTATCCATCCATCCATCCATCCATCCATCCATCCATCTATTTCTATGTGTATAGGTGTTTTGCTTGTAGTGTATTAAGTGTGTGCTTGATGGCCAAAGAATCCACAAGAGGGCATCAGATCCCCTGGAGTTACAGACATTTGTGAGTTCCCATGTAGGTTCTGGGAATCAAACCTGGATCATCTGGAAGAGCAGCCAGTGCTCTTAACTGCTGAGTCAAAAAATAAAAAAAAGGTATTGTTTTAGGGACTAAAGGGGTGGTTCAGTGGTGGAGTACCTGCTTTGTATACATAAGCCCTGGTTGTTGTTGTTGTTACTATTTATTGTTTTGTGCTCCCCCCCCCCCCCTTTTTGGTTGGTTTGTATTTTTGAGACAAGGTCTCATTATATAGCCCAGGCTAGCCCAGAACTCACTATGTAGATCAAGCCCTGAAATGTGCTTGCCTCTGACTCTTAGGTCCTTGGATCAAAAGCCTATACTATAACTGCCTAAGAGTTTTATTTTAGCAGGGTATGATGGAAGAAGAAGAGGCAAGAAGATCAGGACTTCA